CATAGCCCTGTGAGGTTCTAGGCAGTTTTTTATCAAAGGTGATTCAATTCTGGCTAGAGAATGGCCTTTAGAGCTACTTGACTATTAGTAGATGGTAATAGTTTTGCCCCATACGTGCCTATTTATTATTTCTCTTGCATAGTGTTGTATGCAAAGGCGGCTCCAGGGGGGGAAACTATGGGGATCTTTCCTCTACGAGATGAAAATTCTTACGATTTATGTGCCTTTTATTCAAAAGAATTCGTTTGGGTTGTGTTGTTGTAAGCTTTTTTAGAGTCGCGCCGGTTATTTATTGGCTTGCTTAATTTTTTTGTGCTTTGATTTCGATTTAGTATTAACTTATACCTGTTAATTATTTTCCAATGCACTAACCCTAATAACACCGATCTGCCAGAAACATCCCATTTAGGTTCCATGTATGTTTCTGACATAAATGGTACGTGCCTACGATGTCTCTAAAGAAATGTTTTTGGAATGATTTCTCATGAACGTTTTAGAAACATCGTTATTATGTTTTAGGTATTCTATTTTCGTTTTAATTATTTTCAAATAGGTATCAATAAATTATAAAATTACTGCAATCACTAGAAATCTACAATCATATCAAACTCCAATATTAAATTTGAACATTTTGAACAATATATTTATTTCCAAAGACAACTGCTACAGGTTCAATTTTTATTATTTCCTTTAAAATGAGTGCAAAGCAAATACCACAAATAAGAATATACCCTTCCTTCTGGCTCAGCAAGAGAGTTCGGTTAATCCTACGCGAGCTAAAAAAAGTACACTATTGAAGGAAGTCCTCGTGTTAAAACCTATTTTTTTGCATTGAAAGTGTAGCACTGAGCTACAGTACTTATGAAAATATCGTATTTGATTTGATTATCCTACTAAAAAACGTTTAGGTCATTTCTCGAACGTTCCAGCAATAGAATAAAAAACTTACCTAAGATGATTGAGCAACATCGCAGGATGTTCCACAAACGTATCTGTGAAACGTCTCTAATACGTTACAAATGATGACATGGTCATTGCCAGAAACATCCCAGGTACGTTTGAGGGAGAATAAGAAACATGACAGAGACGTTTCTAATGTGTCAAGGGTATGTTTCTGAAACGTTCGAGTAACAATACTGTGCTATTAGGGAAATGTTGCACAAAATGTTCTTAAACCGTCCCTGAACCTTGTTTACAAAATGTACAAAACGAAATTGTGCATAGTGTCTACACATTGACAGTTATTATTTTACTCCTCTCCACTTCATTGGATTTCTGTTTTAATTCCATCCTTTTGGATACATTCTGTTTAGGCAATTTTACACAATTTATGAATTGTGAGGTGGAGCCCAATCATGTTGCCAAACCCTTTCATTTTAGTTCAGTAACTGAAGACCTGAAAATATGCAAAGCTGTCATTAAGTCGGTCCAGATTTCGTTTGTGGGTCAATTCATAGGTCTTGACAGTTGCTTTCAAGGGCGAAAACTTTTACCAACACTGCTGGGTCGGAAAGGGCTCAAAATGGCCCCTAAAGTCCTAAAAAATGGTTTCCCGCTAATATCTGCCAAAATATACAAATTAGACAATTTTTGTTTAGATAAAAAATGAAGATCGTATCATTATCTAAAAAAATGGTCCCCACCATTTTTTTCGCAAGACGAATATTTTTTGCAAAAACGGCCTTCGAAAAAGCCCGAATTTTTGCACTGAATAGAAATGTTAGTTTCTCATTGAATTTCGGCTCGAGGGAGTTAGGAATACATTGATTTTCATGTTTTGGACTTTGAAGACCAATTGTAGATGATGCCAGCGGCATACCTCTGCTCACTAAATTATGGGGCCTATGAATGGAAATCCGGGCACCAATCGATCTTTCGACAATTATTTGCAGATTCTACGGGATTTTTTCTGTAAAGTAGCGCTTGGGATATCTCATCTATATTGCCGAATGTTCTGTGTAATTTGCGTTGCAAAATTTAATAGAAAAGTGCAAAAAACATTTTTTTTCATGTGGCAATCTCAAATCCCGGCGCTTTGCCTAATAGTGGGTCACTAGTTTTAGAGTGTGATGAATATTGACCCGAGAAGACCCTTTATATTTTCTGCGTCTTTTGCAAAATTTTCGCCAACTTCTATCGGAACAATATAGGTCCAGGATTTCAGAAAAATAAGAAATTTTCTGAAAAATTTCTTTTATTATGAAAAACATGTTGAAAGTACGAAATACATAGCAATGCTTATAATATATCATACGTTAAAACATTCAATGTCATCAGAATCATACTTTTCATCGTCTTGCTCTTGCTCTATTCCTTCCCCTCCTCCACGCGTCCCTTCCCCCTGTTTTCCAACCCCTGTGTTGCTGCCTCGACAGCTATTTCATCCTCCTCCCCTTCAACCCCTTCTGGGTCTCGATCCAACTATAATTCTTCCGGAAAAATACCTTCATTTTTGTTATAATTAAAACTCTGTGTCGACTGACACGAACCACAGACAGGCGAGCATTTCAGTCCGGCTTTCAAACATGAACAATTCTTCTCGCAGCCTGTCTTGCACTGACAAAAAAATCATCTTCAAGAGTTCAATTTATAGACTTTATTTTAAATCAACCAAACCTTTTCTGTTCCCCACAAACGAAAAACAAATTCTTGAAAATTCAAGAATGACGTCGAATTTTTCACTTTAAAAACTTCTTTTTTTTAACAACTTAATTGATAATGATAAAATACTATCAATATTTTTCTAAAATACTATCAATACTACCGACAATAACGACTCCAAAAACAACAGAGATTGTATACCAACAAAATCAGACGACTAAGGTGAGCGCGTGGCGTGTGGGTACACGTGGTTAGGTTATGATGGAATATCATGGATCTCAGGCGGAGAGCGTAAAAATGGGGGAGATAATTCTAACAAACAGTTAAGAACCACGCTCACATACGGGGATCAATTGATAGAAATGGAAAGGTGAGAATATCAACTTCACTTCGGTCTGGGTATTAATGTTCAAAAAATGAGCTGCAGTGAACAAGAAGTATTTAAAAAAAAGTCCGGTTTTCCCCGGTGTGATCAACTTTCCCGATTTCTGGAAAATGGAGCAACTTTATTTAAAAAAAAATACATTCGAAAAGTAGACACTCTAAGCTTTAAAATGGTATGCATTGAATAACAATATAATGAAATATGAGTTTTTAATGACTGCTTGTTTCAAAGATTTCTAGAACTCCGAAAACGTATGAAAAATGCAAATAAACAAATCAATTTTGTTTTAAAACGCCAGGAAGATACTGGAAAAAAATTTCTGAGATCACTTGAGACATCTCAAGATCCCATTTAAAACAAAAATGGGATAAAAAACTATTAAAAGAAAAAAAATATGAATGAATTACTATAAAGTGGTCCAAAATAGTGGGAAAACGCAACTTTGACCTCTTTTTCAATGTTCTTGACAGAAAATAACCTATGGGTTTTCCCATTGTAATGAACTTTGAATCATCGAAAAATATCAATTTTTGACCGAGTTCTGAAACAATTTGTCCACCCGTTTACAAGCTAATCCGCATTGCTATAGATATACGCTGGGATAAACATGTAAATGAAATTTGTAAGACCTTAAGGTATTTATTATATAAATTTCGCTACTTAAAATCTATACTTGATATATATCATCTAAAAATCGTATATTATTCACAAGTGGAATCACGTTTACGATACGGGATTCTCGGATGGGGTGGAGTCTCTGTCACCTACTTACAACCATTAAACATTATTCAAAAAAAAATATTAAAAATAATACATAACAAAAAAGTATCACACCCATCAGACGAATTATTTATAGAATCTGCAGTCCTAGATATAAGACAACTATTTACACTTGCTATGATGGTAAATTTACATAAAAATAAGCAGTTACTAATACCTATTCAACATTCATACCAGACAAGAAATCGATCACAACTATTTATTGCAACAAATATTGCAAAAAAACCGTAGGCCAACGAAACTTCCAATATCTACAATTAAAAATTTATAATACACTTCCTGATATATACAAAATATACTTAAATACCATCAATTCTCATGCAATGATAAAATCCTTGCTTAAAACATATTTAATATTAAATAATAGGCACATGCTTAAACAACTGTTTGATTGATTCAAGGAAAACAATATATAATTCACACCCTTATCACGCATCAGTATTTTTGCTAACTATATTTTTTTTACCAATTTAAATTTTTATTATTTAGTTATATAAGTTATAAATCTTATTATTATTATTATTATTATTTTATTATTTTAGTCATTATGTATACCTTAATTATAATTTCTTTTATCTACTGCGTTTTGGCAATTTCAATTTTTAATAAAAATTGGCATTTCCCATGCTCGACTAAACAGTTTTAATGGGGTCAATGATTTATTTACATTGAAGTTACAATACATATGTTTGTGTATTATTGTAAAACTTTTATATTATTATTATTATTATGTGTGAATAAATATTATATATAAAGCAGGGGCTGAACGAGGGGACTTTTGATTGCGGTTATCTCGAAACCTGTCGAATTCCCGACAAAAATGATAGGGGCCATTTTTGTAGATAATGATAAGATCTTTCTTTATTATTAAAATAAAAATTCTCTAATTTGCATATTGTGGAAGATATTGGCGGGAAACCAGTTTTAGGGTCCATTTTGGGCCCTTTCCGACGCAGCAAAGTTGGTAAAAGTTTCCGACCTTGCAAGCGATCGCCGAGACCTAAGAGTTGAGCCACAACGGAAATCTGGACTGACTTAATGACAGGTTGGTCCCTTCAGTTACTGGACTATTTAGAGAAATATTTTATATTAACCAGAGCTGTTCATTTTGGAACATAACCTTGGTGGGTTAGGATTCTTTTTACAAATAAGGACCAATTAAATGGCCTGCATCAGCAGGACACAACATCAGTGGATATTAATCAATATAAAAAATAAACACTTAATAACTTACTTTTGGTAAATTTTGGATCGAAATCGTTCGTGATATAATAAAAAAGGCCATCATTTTTGGAACAAAAATTTGGTGTGTTGATTACCATGGTTTCAAAAAAAAAAAAAAACAAATTGAAGCGTCGATATCTCACAAGTAAACAGTGTGAAATTTGTCTTTTTATGAATATTTCCACTACAGTGGATAAATACAATGAAAAATTTCCCACGTTCTTGATTGCATTTTTAATGTGAGCATAATAAATTGGTTAATTAAATAATTAAAATAATCGATTTTAAATTTATTTTTTCTACGTTCATGCAAAAAACAAAACTTTATTGAACTATATTTGTGAAAAAACTGGTTCTTTATTGCACTAGTTCAATAAAAATTTTATTGCACTCATCTGTCATTTTACTACAGCGTTTTATGATCATGACAAACATAAATATTTAAATTAACGCCAAGTATTTAGTCCATTTTCATTTTCTGTGCATATTTTATATTATTTTCAATCATTTAATAAATAAATTAATAAAAAAATGTATTTTATTAAAAATGTCATTACAAATTATGAACACAAACGTAAATAAATGCCTCAAACAAAGGTACACGATCACGGCTACTATGATTTGGATAATACAACTGCAGTTCTATAAAACATTTTTTGGTTTTTGCATGAACGTAAAAAAAATATTGTATGCAACTCGTGCAAAAAGTGTTTATTGCACTCGACGTGTTGTCCAACTCGGCCTGACGTCGCGTGCAATAAACACTTACTTTTTGCACCTGTTGCATAAATAACTATTATAGTATACAGATGACTTACGTTTAATTATATATACACAACTACTTAGTTTCTTGATTTAATTTAGCCAAGTGCAATATTTATTTTCTATATCGTCTTTAAAAAAATTGTAAGTTTAGCTTCCATTTTTTGCAAATGCATGCGACACCATCATTCGAGTAAAATTCTCACCGCTACATCAGTCTTACACTGTTTATCAGTACCGCTAGCATTTATAGATAGTACATATTTCTATAACTTCAAATTCATTAGAGACCACCCCTGTATGTAGTAATATACTGTTGATTTACTTTTAATAAGTATACAGTACCTCTATAAAGTAACGTATAAATAAACAATAGTTTTAAAAATTCCTGTAACAGATCGATCTTTGGTTTTAAATTACTGTTTTTTAAAATAATAATCTAATTTACAGGGTGAACTACCCTTGGGTGATGACATCATTCCCATTTTAATAATGGAACGCTCTATTTTAGCAAGTTTCAGATTTCCCTTGCTAAGTTGATTCCAAAAATGTATCACACGTTGCTTCAAATTGGTACAGGGTAGGCAAAAATACAAGAATTATTTATAAAATCAATATTAGGTAAATAAACAATACTATTAAAAATTTTCGAAACATGTAGATTTTTTATTTTAATTTACTGCTTTTTTTAATAATAATCTAATATACAGGGTGAACTATCTCAGTGTGATGATATCACCATTTTTTAAATTTGGACACCCCTTTTTTCCAATTTCCGGATTTCCCTTGCTGACATTATTACACAAACGTATCGCATGTTGCTTCAAATTGGTACTAGGTGGGCAAAAATATAAAAATTATATATTACTTGCAAAATAAGAAATAAATAATGAACGATATAAATTAAATGAAATTACGTAGTTATGCAATTTGGTATTGTTCTACTAGTTGATCTAAATACGATAATTAAATTGATGGAATATCGAAAAGAGAGCTGGGTTAAAATTATTTTGGAGGACAATGGACAGTATCAATAGATGGCAGCAAGCTCCATGGTGTCTAAGTATCTACCTGTAAGCTTCAAAATATGTAAGGTGATTTATTTATAAGGAAGATATTCTAATTTAAGAAAAAACAAAAACCCCGGTAAAATGTAACCATTTCTTTTTAGTATATAATCCTTTTACCACCTTTTTATGAGATGTGAATTTTAAATCCGATATTGACTCGTTTTTGAGATATACAGGGCGTTAAAGTGGAGAATTGGTAATTTTAGTTATTTTTACTTTCCTATCTATATACAGATAAGGAAAGTATCTGTATACAGATCAGGAAGGTAGGTATAGGAATCATGTATTTTTCGACCTCGTGTTTTCGACGATTTTTTACGTTTTGGGGTCCCCTGAATCCGTTTTAACTATTTTGTGTGTGTGTGTGTGTGTGTGTGTGTGTGTGTGTGTGTGTGTGTGTGTGTGTGTGTGTGTGTGTGTGTGTGTGTGTGTGTGTGTGCGTGTGCGTGTGCGCGTGTGCGTGTGCGCGTGTGCGTGTGCGAGTGCGTGTGGTGTGGTGTGTGTGTGTGTGTGTGTGTGTGTGTGTGTGTGTGTGTGTGTGTGTGTGTGTGTGTGTGTGTGTGTGTGTGTGTGTGTGTGCAACTTTGCAGATCTGCAAATATGGCGGCAACTTTGAAAATCTGCAAATATGACTGACTTACACATGCAAGTATCAAGTTTTCGTATTCCAAATTTGGGTTTAGTGTTGTTGGGGGTAATAAACCACAATAAATATTGCGAATTTGCAGATATTTTTTGGAATACTTGCATTTGTAAGTCCGCCATATTTGCAGATCTGCAAAGTTGCAGACGTTCTTTAATCTCACCCTAAATACCATTTTTATTAAGTATCCAATACCATATTTTTTGTTTTTCATCTGGCAACACTGGTGATAAGTATAATAGCTGCATGACGCAGCAGCGTAGGTATCGAAGTAGAATGAAAAGAAGAAATTGATATATAACCTAACCTAATTGGCTAAAATGTCAAATCAAAAATCCAAACAAATAACAAATAGTTCTTTTAAAAATTAACTGAATATAACAAAAAAAAATGGATGAAAGCAAAGGCACACCAGAGAGCGATTTTAGTATAGAATGTTTCCAAAATTATTCTGCCCCCGAAGTCTTTATTCAAGGCCTTGCAGGAATAGTTGATCAACAAGATGTTGAACTGATGATTAGGGCCCAAAAACAAATGTAAGAATAATAATTGTGATATTTTTTTGATTAGGCTATATTTACTCTTTTTTACTTGTTACCTGTTGTTTTTTGCATCCCACAAAATTCTAACATAGAATTTTAAGAAATAATATTCGAAACAGACTAAGTAACAAAGATTAAAACGTATGTATGTAACGTACCAAAAACTGTATGTATTTTTAAAATGTGTTAAATTTAAGGTTGCAAAGATTTGAGAAAACTAACGAAATGCTTACAAACTGCAATGCCTTAAGTGCTTCTAGGCTCAAAAGTGTGGGACCTGAATTCAAAAAACATTTTAATCTTTTATTAGAAACAAAAAAAGATTTAGACTATATATTTAAGAAAATTAGGGTGATCAAAACAAAGTTATCAGCACAATATCCAGAAGCTTTTGATGAAGCAGTGAGAAGTAGCTTTGCAGAAGAGTGTGAAGAGGAAGAAAACTCCGAAAATAGTAAACGAAAGAATGAAGAAAATCGAAGAAGTTTACACATAAAAAGTGATGATGTAGAAAATGTTGAATCTAGTAGGAGAGCTTCTAAATAAATAGTTTACTTAGTATATGTGTAATACTTTCTAATAGTGGTTTTATTTGCAAACAAACGTACACTGAATCTAGAGCTCTACACTGACTTTAAATGGTAATGTAGGTAAGTGTAGCTGTCAAATGTGTGATAATTTGCAGCAAACGATGTACATTCTGAAATATATTATGGGTGCAGAACACCTATACGAATTTACAATATTATTTAAATCAGTGGCAGCTATTCAAGTGATGATAATAATAATACTTTATTAATCCTTTTAAATCATATACATGATATAGGATAAGTCATTTACATGTAAAGATGTACAATAGTATACATTTACAAAACAGATATAAAATCTAACTAACACATTTAAATATACAATTTAACAATAAATACACAAAATTAAAATTAGGACTGATATGCTTTTGATATGATATAAGCTGTACCTTGTACTACAAAAACTACAGGAGAAATTCATGAATGCTATAGGGGTATTTTTGGGACAAATAGCTTTTTAAGTTGCATTTAAATGAGCTCAGGCTATTAATTTGTTTTAGAGAGGTAGGCATATATGATTGAATAACCTTATTCCACAGTAGTATGAACTTTTTTCAAACATGGTTGAAACATGAGGGGGTATGCATAGTAAATTGCCACTAGGAGTACTATAATTATGGTTGTCTAAGTTACGGGTAAATTTGGAGATGTTTTTGTTTTAACGTATAAAGGGTGTTTCAGATTTTAACGGACACAGTTTAATGAGAGGTAGAGTACACTTAGCTGAGTTCAAAGCACCCTTATACTTAGCCTTTAATCTTACTCGTTTTTGAGATATAGGGTGTTTTATGACTTATTATTTGCCAAAACTAAAATCGGCCATTTTGTTTGAACGGCTAGAGTTATTTTGATAAAATTTTGTACAAAAGTTACACTCTCTTAGGTTAACGAAAACCATGATCTAATTTTAAAAAATTCCAGAACTGGACTCTCTTTTTTATATTGCTCTTCTTAGCTAGAATATCACCCTGTATATCGGATTTTAATAAATGTTACTGCATATTTAAATAGTACATGGATCAACAAATGAAATAATGTAATAATATTTAATGGCACTATCTTGATGTTATTACAATAAATTTTTATAATCGCGACTACATTATTATAAATCAGTATTTACAAAATTAAAATCAAATATTTTACCCTGTACTTTTAAAACTCTACACAAATAGGTACCATCTACATTTATTTTTAACTACTGCATTTTCCAATAAGAAATTGATCATCTACACAGGACCGGGCTCACTTTATTTGATAAAGTAACAGAACAAACTAACAGAAACAAATAATTAATTTAATCTAAAGTAAATTTTCATAATGAACACCGTGAACGTCAATACACCTCTGCGAACGTTTTAACAGGTTTTTCACTGATTTGTCAATTATTTCCGGTTTATTTTTAATGATGTTGCATACATTATTAATTTTTTCCAATAACTGTGTTCGCGTATTCATTTCTTCGTTGTACACCTCTGATTTAAGGTAGCCCCATAAAATATACTCCAGAGTTGTTGGATCTGGAGATCTTGGTGACCAATTGGCGGGACCGCCTCGACTTATCCAGCGACTTGAACACACATTAAATGTTTGGTGTGGAATTTTTAAAAAATCATTTAATACCCAAGCACAGTTAAATCATCGTTTCCCAAATTGGCCACCAAGATCTCCAGATCTAACACCTCTGGATTATTTTTAATGGGGCTACCTTAAATCAGAGGTGTACAATAAAGAAATGAATACCCGAGCACAGTTATTGGAAAAAATTAACAATGTATGTAATAACATTAAAAATAAACCGAAAATAATTGACAGATCAGTGAAAAACCTGTTAAAACATTAGCATTCACGGTATTCATTTAAAAAATCTACTTTAGTTTTAATTATTTATTTCTGTTAGTTTTTTTCTATTACTTTATTAAATAAAAGTGAGCCCGGTCCTGTGTAGATGTTCAATTTCCTAATGGAAAATGCTGTAGTTAAAACAAATAAAGATGGTACTTAATTTGTGTAGAGTTTTAAAAGTAGAGCGTAAAATATTTTATTTTAATTTTGTAAATACTGATTTATAATAATGTAGTCGCCATTATAAAAATTGATTGTAAGAACATCAAGATGGTGCCATTAAATATTATTACATTATTTCATTTGTTGATCCATGTACTATTTAAATGTGCAGTAACATTTATTAAAATCCAATATAAAGGGTGATATTCTAGTTAAGAAGAGCAATATAAAAAAAAGAGAGTCCGGTCCTGGAATTTTTTAAAATTAGATTATGGTTTTCATTAACCTAAGAGCGTGTAACTTTTGTACAAAATTTTATCAAAATAACTCTAGCCGTTCAAACAAAATGGCCGATTTTAGTTTTGGCAAAAAGTCATAAAACAGCCTATATCTCAAAAACGAGTAAGATTAAAGGCTATATAAGTATAGGGGTGTTCTGAATTCAGCTAAGTGTACTCTACCTCCCATTGAGCTGTGTCCGTTTAAATCTGAAACACCCTGTATAGCACATTTGAGAATATACAGGGTGTTAGTAAATAAGTGCGACAAACTTCAGGGGGTGATTCAGCATGAAAAAATAATGACAGTTTGCTATATAAACGTATGTCTGAAAATGCTTCGTTTTCCGAATACGGGGTGTTAAAGTTTTTCTTAAAAACTGACGATTTGTTTATTGCTCTGAAACCGGTCAAGATATGCAAATGAAATTTGGTGGATTTTAAGAGGTAGTTATTCCGCATTTTTTGACATGCAATTAAGAATTTTATGTTCATCATTGGCGTGCATACGGGTAATGATCTCAATTCATTTAAAGAAAAAAATGGTACGCCACTGAGATATTTCAAATTAAAAATCATTTTTGAATTCCTCATTAAATTTGTCATTTCTTTAATACATTATTATCTAATAGCGACGCTAGTACTAGTAGGCTATTGTCAACATTCTGTTAAATACGAATAGTTTAACGAAATGTCAAATTAGCGTTTCTTCATTATTAAGCTTTTAGTTTGGTATAACATTGATGTTAATTTCATTTGCAAATCTCGACGGGATTCAGAGCAATAAGTTAATCATCAGTTTTTAAGAAAAACGAAGCATTTTCAGACATACGTTTATATCGAGGGGCTTTCCACTGTTCAAAATTTGTACACCTATTGCCGTATTTCTTAAACAATGCCGGCATTTCTGAAACATTTCCTGCATTGCCGAAACATTACGGCATTTCTCAACTATTGACGGCATTTCTCAACTATTGACGGCATTTCCGAGCCATTGTCGGCATTTCCGAACCATTGCCGGCATTTCCGAACCACTGTCAGCATTTCCTACACATTGTCGACTATACATATTGTATTATCGAACTATTTTTTTTTACTCCAGGAAGCTAAAATTATGAAAATGTATGTTCATTAGGACATTTTTACTTTCCTAACTGTACACAGATAAGGAATGTATAGGAATCATTTTTTCGACCTTGAGTTTTCGATGGATTTTTACGTTTTGAGGTCCCCTGAATTCGTTGTGACTATTTTCGCAATGTTATCTGTGTGTATGCGTTGTATATTCGATAACTCATGAACGGATTAAGAGAAAACCACGAAGTTTTAAATTTAAGCTTTAATCTCCCTTGTGGTAAGCTGATTAAATTTTATTTATTTATTTATTTATCAACGAGCAATTGCCCAATTAAAATACAGTTCAATAAAAGGGAAAATTTAAAACATAACCTACACTTAGAGAATGTTAAAACAAAGAAATACACATTAGCATAAAATTAACATAAACAAGAAAAAATTAAATATTATATAAAAAAACAAACAAACAGAATAACAATTGTAAATAAGTTAAATTAAATTATCTAGACATCAAACTATCACATGCATGATTTAAGCTGGGATTTAAAGACTTTTTTATTATCAAAGCAGTCCAATCTATCAGAATATTGATTAGTAAATCTACCCGATCTTGATAGAAAAGAATTATGTCCATAGTTAATTCTAATATTAAAGGGTTGAATACGCCTTGTTTGTCTCGAAGGAACATGAATATAGATTTTTTCCAATAACTCTGGACTAAAGCTATGTGAGTGTAGTATTGTTGTAGAATGTGGTAAGATCCTTGTGCATGCGTCTGATCTGAAGAGTGGTAATATTAAGGGAACTCTCAATATTTGAGTAATTAATATCCTCGACTCCACGGTGGTCCTTAAATCTTAAAAATTTATGCTGAACTCTTTCAATGGCTTGAATGTGAACATTGTAGTGAGGGAACCAGACACATGAACAGTAATCTAAATGAGGCCTCACAAGTAAACAAAACAATATTTTAATGGATGATACCTCTAAAAAATCCTTAGCGCAACGTTTAATAAAGCCTAATATTTTAGGAATAGTCGGAACATCTGAGGGGAAGCACTTTATACACGGTTATTTTTCTACTTTATAGAATATATTTGTTATTTAAGCTTGGCGAAGAAAATTACTTGTGATATATTTCTCTACATTTTTCGCCCCCGACATAATTTTCCTAAAATGGTCCGTATTCGAGAAATTTGACAAATGGTGCAAACTTCTAATTTTTAAGAAAATTGTTTAAATAAAAGTTTCTTCTATAATTTTTGTCCTACACATATTTTTCCTAAAATGGATCTTATTCATGATATTTGAGAAAAAGTGCAAATTTCAAAGATAACTTATAAATTGATTAAAGAGAAAAATACCAATATTTAAACTTGAGCTCGAGCTTAAGCTTTAATTCATCCTGTGGTGAGCTAATTAAATTTTGGGCATAGTTGAAGCATCTGGGGGTTCTTTATAGTGTCATTTTTAAAATTAAAGAATATCATTCTTTATAATTTTTGACGTATACATAATTTTCCTAAAATGATGTCATTCTCTATAATTTTTATTCTATACATGATTTCCCTAAAATGGACCGTATTCGAGATATTTGAGGAATAGTGCAAATTTCAAATTTCAGTTCAGAAATGGA